GCTTAATAGGTTCTGACAAATCTGTATTTTCAGAAGAAATACCGCACAACTTGTCCTGGCTCACTTGAAAGAATGAATTGCCTTGTATTCATTCCTTGGAACGGAGTCAAGTTGAACTTGTGATGTTTATCTGGGCAGAAGTGGACAAACTGTGTTCGTTGGTTTAGAGGGCGGAGCGTTGGCACATCACAAACCAGGGGTGGTGGGAGCTTGGAGTTACCCACTACAAGCCACCAATGTCTATCGTTTCAATCGTTTCGGAGGACGCCCGATTCCTTTACTTGACTTTTGCTTGGATTTTTACTTGCTTCCAGCTCCAGTTCGCCGCTTGTGTGCCAGACCGACCGGGACTCGGAGCCGTTTGTCTCCATCATACTCATTTGAAGTTTGACTTTCGTTGGCTGTGTTTGACTCATGGAAGCTCAATGAGCTTCAGACAGCGCCAAAGATTCATATGAGTCGCTTGGACGTCGACTTTGAAAACTTTGTCTTTCATCTTTCTCCGTTTTATGAGCGGCAGGTTTGCGGCATGACTGCCCGGAACCTCGAGGGACCCCCTCCCGCCCCCTCTTCCCGGCATTCGACGGGCTGCCACCCAGTCGCAGTCGTGTCAGCGTCGCTTGGAGGACATCCACTTTTAACCCCCCCCGGGCTGTTCTCTGACCTTGAGTTGTACTTATTTCTACCCTGACTAATTGATGCATTTCATTCATCTGTGGTCTGAACTGTTCCGATAGCGGAAGTTCGAAAAAATCAGACACAGGTACAACATTTGATTTGTTTTGACCTGCAGTGTGATCGAAACTTTGAAAAACACCCCCAACTGCTACACCTCTCTCTCTTTCTATCGGACTGCTTAAGATTGAAAAGTCAGGACCAGATCCCTGATGACTGTGGTTAAGCCGCAAAGCCAATGGAAGAAATAGATCGATCAAGTTTTGACCGGATCTGAATTTGTCCCTTGATATAACGTTTACTTTCATCTTCCTAAAGGCCCGGCAGCCGTGACGTTTCAGCGTATAACACAAATGTCCCTCTGACACTCATCCGCTGCCGAAATAAAAAGCCTTTCTTTCAATGATTCTAACACGGGAATAACTCTTCTGACGTGATTTTCTTGTTTTAACAAACGGCTTCTTATGAGTGTAAATCAGGCTCAGACTTTAACAAAAACAAAGTCTGGAGCATTTCAAATGGTCCCGAAAGAGCTCTTTCCAATTCCTAACCCGCTGACCCATCTCCAGACGGATACGTTCGACCCTGTATCCAAAGCGAAAAAATAAAAATAAACATATGGCTTGCGAAATACGTCGGAACATGATGAAAAGACAGACCGTATACGTTTCAAACTCAAGTATTGACCCCTGTTACGACTTGGCCCGCAGTCCTGCCATAAACTCTTTCCAGCCACTGAAGTGAGAAAGCCAAACAAACCTACCTGTGTGTATTTTACCCGCGCTCATTTGCGCGGCCACCTGAACGCCAAAGCCAAAATGCGCACTTGATTTATTCATCCCAGCACCGCGGCCACCCGAATTGCGTAAAGTTGAGTCCACGGCCAAGCGTCAATCAAACAATCTCATATGATGATGCCCGTTTTTCACGACTGTGATTAGTGTGTGTGTGTGTGTGGGGGGGGGGGCGGGGGGGGGGTGATATGATTTCCACAACTCCCACAAACCTCAACCTCAGTGGGCAAACACACAATGTCACATCTCATTAACTAGGAACAACACTTTTGCTGGAAGGGTTTTCTTCCAGACATACCGTCGGAAAAAGTCTCAAGATTTGGGTCTGGGAATTATTGCTCAATATGCTTGTTTTGACCAAAAGCAATGTCTGGCACCAAAAATCCTTTTTTTTTTTTTTTTTTTTTTTGGTTGGTTCCACCTGAGAGCAGGATTCGGCCTGTTGTCTGTAAATCTGGATGGAAAGATTGTGAAGACGTGTGGCTTGAAGTCAAGAAATGGTGAACAAAGCAACGATGAAAGTCTTCCACTTTTTTCCTGCTTCCGTCTGCTACGCAAGGCCCGTGATAAGCTTCACAGAGCGTGTCGACAAGTTCCCCTTTTGGGTGCGAGCGCCTGTAAAGACAGAGTCGATGGGAGACGGGGAGAGGAACAACAAGTCTGTCTCGTATTTGCTGCCAACTCAGTGGAAAAATTTCCTTTTGTCCACGCTTATGAGAAAATGACAAAGAGCGGCCATGTTAACAGATAAAATAGACACAGTGGAACCTAAAAAATAAAAAAACAAAGGCCCCAACCACAGTGGAAATCCACAAGCCTCTTACAAGGGTCTGTTATTGCCACAAGAGGGCAGCAAAGGACTTTTTTCTATTAGACAAGGGTATGGTCGGACTAAATGACGCTCGTGCCCCTCACTCACTTCAGTGTAGATCGTTGGCCCCCAGATGACATAAAATGGCACGCAAAGCAATATGGGACTTGGCCTCACTTTGCAATCTGCCAGCAGACAAACGTTCAACACAATAATGACAACACTACCTCTCAAACTATTTTTTTTTTCTTCGAGGTAAACCAGCCCTCTCCAGAACAAGCGAGTAGTTTGACTTTATTTGATCGCTTGTCGTTTGCGTCTCTTTATCAGCAATGCAAAGTTAAGCGAACAACTATTAAAAATATAGTCGGATGGATTCAAACTACAAAATACATCTCCACAGACGCCATTCTCTAAAAAAACAAAAAAAAAACAAAACAAAACAAATTCAGACGATTGAGCCTGAATGCTGCAGTCCAGGCTTTGATCGAGTCCAGTGCCTGCTTAATGTTCCACCACCCAGCCGAGCCATGATTCCAGAGCAGTGTCGGCCATAGAATGGAATTAAAGGTTGTGCAGAATAAAGAGTTGCAGGCATTCATGTGGCTGCAATTCTGTCAGGAAAACGCATTGAGCCAACGCGTGAGCCTTGGCCAGGGTTGTGAAAGCGGGAACATGTTTTCACTCTTGTGGATGGGCGCGTGCGTCTAAGTGCACGCACGTGTGTGTTTCTCTACGTGTGAAAGACGTTTGTGTCGGCCGGGAAATGAAACGGCATCCCATTGGAGGATGTAGAAATGCTAATAGGGTCATTATCATAACACTACAGTGAGTCAATCTCCCGTCAGTGTTTGGTAATGCCCCACGAGTCTTCTGGGGGGAAATGGACAGAAAATGACTTCGGTACTTGAGTCTCTTTGCTGAGATTGATGGAGGAACTCCCGTCCATCCGTTTGGAATTTTAGGAGCGTCGACAGGCTCCAAACGAAGCATGCAACTCATTTTCAAATCTGCTTAAGGCCTTGCAACCACTAGAGGGCCACCAAGAGCAATTAACAGGCCTCAGAGATGGTGGGCTTACTATTGAGAAAGAACAAAGTCACAAAAATAAGAAATATATTGAATGAGGTATTTGCTTGATATTGTCGTCATTTAATTTCATAGATCAAAGTAATATGATTTGTTCATGCACTCTATTGTTGCTCTTACCCGCAGAGATCGAGGGCCCTGCCATCAAATTCAGGCTTCAGGCCCCGACCTCGGCTCTTCAACATGCCCCCGTTTGTCTGGGGAAGACTTAAGACATTGCCTCCTTGTGGCCAAAAGTTGCAAAGTACTTCTAATTATTTTACGATCAAGTTCTCACTTTGTCCGACAAAAGCGGACATTTTTTGAGGCTTCTTTTGCCCAGACATCACTTAAACGTGTTGTGGCCTATGAGGGGTTGCGTGCGTTGGAGTCAGCTGCATGTAAAAGAGCGCAAATGGGAGAGAGCGACTTCATCTGGGCAAAACGTGCGCCTGCACGGTTACGATTGGCCGCCCTGCATTCAGGGCGATGATTGCGCGAGTAGTCAGTTAAGCCTGTGTGGAACACATTTGAGAACATGCAAAGGATACGGCACTATACTCCAGAGGTGTTTCTGGGATGAAGCAGGTGAGTATCAGCAAAAAAAAAAAAACAACAACCTCAATATTCTGAACAAATGCAACTGAGGCTCTGAAGCGTTTTTCGACTGCACCAAAACTTGATTTCCACATGGAGAATCCGGAGTTGACTGTGTCATCTAAAGGCACGCAAGACACAGGCGCACATCCAGACGAAACAGATCGACGCTGCCAATTGTTTTTTGGGAAATCAGAACTTGAGTCCACTCACTTTTCCAGGGCCGTCCCCTTTCTGTTACTCTCATTCTACACTTCTCTCCACAATCACGCTTGTGCACTCAAATAAAAACTTAGCCAATATGCATATATATATTCATGCCTGGCATGATGTTTTTTTTTTTCTTTTCCTCTTTAATTTTGCCCAGCTGCGCCTCTCAAACGCTTTCGGGACACCTGAGAAGTCGACGGCTGCAATAGACGGATGTCGTTTCAGTGGAATGCGGTGGCGCTTGCCAGCGGCATCGCGGAGGATGCAGGGAATCAAGCCGTCTTGAAAAAGAGGAGAGCCAAAAGAAAACTTGGGCCGTGTGCGCCTGGCATATTCCTTCACCTGGCTTTGTCGGTCAGGCCAAGGAGATAGCAATCCACACGATGGAATCAAAGGTCAGGCAGGCGCGCAGTCAACTTCACAGATCCAAATGGAGCCCGTTTTACACCCGATTGGGCATCATCAGTACGCGCGTGTGCACGCGGCAGTGCGACCCCCTCCAGTTCCGATTCAAAAGTGAATCCAAACCAAGCGCAGAGACGGGAAAATGACTTTCGTCAGGTCATTGAAAGCACAATGTCCACAGAAGCTCCTTTTCTTAAAGTGAACCCTCTTAATCTTTCAGTTATTATTTGGTGAAGTAGTTTAGGGCCGCGGAGATTTATGTCGGTCCCATGACTAACGTCTGCTTCTTATTTTCGTGTCCTCCCCCTACCCCCCCTTCCTGATCACTCCTTCTGTTTCTTTTGGCCTGGCCACCGCGGCCACATGTGATGAAGTGAGAGACGGCAGCTGACAGCGCAAAGAGAGTAAGGCGAGGGCGAGATGGGGCAGGTCGGCTTTACCTTTGTCTCCTCAGAGTGTCCAGCGGCAGGAGGGCAGCGCCGGGGTCGGTGCGATCTTCAGGTGGGTCTTCTATTCTACCTCCCTCCTTCAGCCACGTGTGTCTCCCATGGGATGGGGTGGCATCAGATGTTCAATGGAGCCCCCCAAGAAAGAGGAGTGATGGCACCTTCAACCGGTCCAGTGAAGAAGAAGGAAAAAAGAAAAGAAAATGAATTGAAGCGCAGGTGCCCTTTTTCGAGTTCAGTCAGTCTCCGGAAAAAAAATACAAAATTCAGTCCGTGCGCTTCTGGGCAAAATGAGAATTTGATGGGATTTCAATGGAGGGGGAAAAAAAAGGAGAGGGGAGAATCCTCTCTGTGCCCTGTTGGAGCGCTCCGGACGCAGGTCTGGGGAGCACCTTCCCAATCTACGCACTGCCGTGCTCCAGGGTGGAAAGTAGGAGGGAGCGGGTTTTCGGGAGGGAGAGAGAGGGAGCAAAAGTGCAGTGAGAGTCTGCTAATCAGGCGGTCAGGTAGTCGGCAATGTCTGTGGAGCTAAAGGTCCGAGCAGGGCGCACTCCCACTTCCAGGATTTATATCCGGGGGCCGCGCATCTCGTTGGACCAATCTCCCTGGCTTCCTCCTCGATCCCTCTCCCACAGGCTCATTTGGGGAAAAGACAGACAGGATTGTTCGCCGGGTTCACCCCCTTCGTACAAAAAGCAAGTGTCTGCGTGCCGACGGAGAAAGGGAGTGTGCGGGATGGGGTGGGGTAGCGGCCCCGCGTCAAGGGGTGGGGTAGCGTTTAGAGGAGGGTGAAAGGAAAAGAAGCAAAATGTTTTGCCTCGGTCCACTTCAACCACACCGCCCTCCCCCCCGCCCCCCCCTCAAGAAATCATCAAAAATACTTCGATTTTGGCACTCAGGGAACCCTGACATGTTAATCCTAAAATCTCCCACAAAAACTTTCTTTTTCCTTCTCCTTTGCCTGCAGCTCCAATGGGCAATTAATAATCTCCCCGCATGACATAACGCTGGGAACCGCAACGCGCACACAAGGGCTTTGTTGTTTTCCTGTTACAGACCGCTGCCTTTTGTGTATAATCGTTACATGATATCGAAATCACCCGAGCGTTGCAATTCACATTCGACAGCCCCCCCTCCCCCGCCCGCCCCCCTCGGCTATTCATTGCATCCATCGGATTTTACATTGAGAACATGCCAGGTGCTTCGTCAACCCCATCAACATCCAATCATTGCAATTTCCAGCCAGCGTGCCACGAGAGATCGTCAGGTGTACTGCTGATCCAATTTCACGAAATGGGCCCGAAAATGATTTCCCATACTTAGTCTATCTATGCCGATGACATGTCGTGACAGGTGAAATTATTCGACGCTCTTCCACCAGATGACACAAGGTCAATAATAACCCCGCGTATCTTCTTTTTGCCACATATCTGGTGGGTGGAGAAGGGCAAGATGCTGAAAATTTTCTCGAAACAATTTATTTCGAGAATCTGAGTTACAAAGATTCATTTGTAATCCGGCCTCGGAGGAAAGGACCCACTGGATTTCCGACTGGAGGCGCTGAGTAAAGTATGAAGGCCTGTGTTGTACCCAATCAAACATTTTTTGATTGGGTTGATGTCAGTTTTCAGTTCCTAATAAAATTTTCCCCCCCCAAAAAAATCATCCAAGCAGGCCTTTGCTTTCCGGGGAACAGAAAAGAGTCTGCATCTCCTCTACAATGTACCGCTCATGCGTTGGAGTCAACCACTCTTTACCGTGTACTCCAACAACCATTAAAATGCAAATTGGGCAACTTTTCCTGACATGAGAATTTGAGGCTCCAGCAGGTACTCAAGAGCATATTTGGATAATGGGGCCCACTTTTCCCAAGTATAATTCGGGTACAATTTAAAGAGGCATATTTTCTTTCACTCTCTTTTGGTCGCGGAGTGATTAAAATTGCCACGTCGTGTTATTGACAGAGCCATGTGTACCATACTTGCACAAAACCGCCATTGTTTGACGTTGGGAACAAAAACGCCCCAAAAATTTGCAAATGGAGCTGACTCAATTGAATAATCTGAAACCGAATAAGCTCTAGCCCGCCGTGTCTGTGAGCGAGAGCCGCGTCGCGCTCACTGAATAGTTCTCTGAACATGGAAAGGGTGGAGTGACCAGATGCCCGGTGATGATGTCATCAATAGGAGCCTGTGTGGCTTTCAGGCCCGCCATTCATTCATCCCGGGGTGTGTGTTTCTGCGTGAACAAGTAGGACCTTATTGTTAGGCGAGGAGGCAAAATTGGAAATCACAAAAAAAAAAAAAAAAAAAAGCAGTCTATCAACAGGGCTTTCACAGCACACAGTGCCCTCCCGCTGTCCCGTTACTTTAACAAGGTGAAACATTCCCGAAAGTTCGGAGTGTAAACAAACAGCCTGGCAAACCGTGACGTTGCATCACACAGACTTTCCCCTTGATATTGGCGAAGGCTCTCCCGAAATAAGCCATGAAAGGCAAGTTGGCGTAACCGATCCGCTCCACACCCACCCAACATAGGCCTGCTATGTTTTAACATGTGGGTGGGGGAGTCTGTTCCCGTCAAAGCGGTGTGTGTGCATGTCCACGGTTGGTTTAGGGGTGCAGCGGGCGTGTTTTCCTGAGGTGAGCGCTTGCGGTGTGTTGAAAGGCGGTTTGTGAGATTGATTAGAAATCGCTTTCGGGTTGTAATGCGACCTTGTTTACCTCAATCTCACTGTGAGGAGAGGATTGTATGCGGGTAATTGACATAATAGGGTCTGATTTAAAACATCTACGACGGAAAAAAAATAAAATAAATACATACAATTCCAGATCCCTCACTTGTCAGTAAGGGGCCCCATTCCTAATGCAACGTGGTTCACGTTGAATTCAAGCTTTGGGAGGTCAAAGTTGAAAGTTCACATGAGGACAGCAGGCGCTCCTCTTTTCTCTTTGCCACTTTCCCAAAGAGACATTTTCTCTCAGGTGATGAGGTTCACCTTTGTCTCTTCTAACCTCTCCAAGGAATGCCAGGCATTCACACGTGCACAAAAGGGGAATGGAATTCCTGAGAGCGGGAGGACGGCGACGGTGGCGCATAAAACAAGGCGAGAGAGAGGAGTAAAAAGACGGCGCTCGGTGGACAGGCAGCAAAAGAACGACAGAGGATGGGCACGGCGGCATTGGGAAGGCCATTTTATGCCGTCGATAAAAAATGGGGAGCTTTCCAAAACAAAAAGTTTCAGCTGGCACGGCGGTGGTGGAGAGCATGGGCCATCATTTGAAAAATGCAAATCAGAGATGAAGAAAGTTCAGGATTGTACGTGGTTTGCCACGTATTTGTTTGGATGTAGGAGCATGTGCGCCCCCCCCCACTCCTCCCGCCTCTGAGATTCCAATTTTCGAATCACCGCAAAACTCATCGCAGACAATCTCGCTCCAGGAAGCAGCACACACTCGGGCCTACGGTCACATATCTTGTTCCCAGGCTCCAAAAGTCTTTCCTAACAACGTGAGGCCGTTGCGAGAGCACAGTCAAAGCTTTGCTGCGCCGAGGAAATGATGAGTTCCAAAAATGGCGCCACTTTCAGTGGTGCGTACAAACACAAGCACTTTTCTCGACTGCAATTTCCCCAGCGACGAAGCGAATTGATCTCCACGAGGGAAAGATAATTCCAGCCCAAACGAGTTGAGACAATTGTAAACGTGAGCTGAATCTGTCTGCGTTTCACACGGCCCAGATTTCCCATGTCCGAGCTCAAGATGTGCAAACCAGCAATGATTAGTTTAGCAGGATTGAGTGAAGCAATCGCGTAGGCTGCAGCGGCCGTGAGTGAGACTGACACCCCGCCCCGAAAAAAAAAATAGCAGCGATTTTAAAACAAACGCCTCGGTGTCAATGGGAATGAAAATAAAAAGGAGACAGAAACAGGAGTTGGAGATTTGCAGGAGGCAGACATGCATCCGTTGAAAGCATTCGGAATTCGACACCATTTTTTCAAGTGCTCTTGCTGCCAGAAGGGGGAGACAAAAGTTCCATATTGTGCGGTCAACTCATGAGCAAATCACCAAAAACATGTTTAGTAATCACAAAAGTTGGGAACAGATTTAATGACGCAGACATGGATTCGCACACCCGCCTCACAATTCTGGGGTCAGGGCTTTGAATCTCAACTGCGGCCTTACTGGTTGCGGTTTGTGTGGAGGATGGAGTTGCTTGAAATTCCCCATCCTTTGTTGGTCAAAACAATTCCAGGAGCAAGAATCTCACCGTCATGGGTGACAAAAGGACCCGGACGAGCAATCCTCCCTTAATTTCAGAAAAAAAAAAGCCAGCAAGAGAGAAACTCGAGACAAAATGTGAGGTACAATTAAAGCGAGCCACCCAAAAACTTTGTGGGAAATAAATTCCGGGCATAGGCACCCTTGGCGAGATTTATTAAGTCAAATGAGAAACTATCAAAAGAAACAGACTGTTGGAAATAAATGAATCAAATTTTATTTTAAAAAAAATATATAGATGCAATCTTCTTCCCTGACCTTTGCCCCTTGGGTTCACACTAAGCAGCGTCCCCTTGTGGCTGTTTTGTGAAGCGCCTCACCGCCGTCCTCTCATGGCTGCTTTTGTATGGACGGCCCTGCTACATCGAGCCACTTGACTTCATGCCGACCTCTTGTCTTACTTGTTTGTGACTCGAAAGAGACGCGGGGGCGCATCAAGCTTCTCCTCCTGAGCTTGTCTCACACACACACACGCACACACACACATACACACATACACACACGCACACACACGCACGCTAAGTGTAACTGGCGGCTTCCGATTTATGACGCGACGCTAACCTTGATGCTCACAGGAACCTCCTCCCTAACGCAGCTTTTTCCACATGTCCCACCGCCGCCCACCGTCACTGAGCCACAAGGTAAGTGAGATATTGCGCTGCGGTCACCTCAAAGTCATATTAGCCACTTCACATTTTGAACGTGCATTTCGAAAGTCCAGAAGAATGTGCCATGTGCAAAATCGCACACAGCCGACTGGCTGAGAAAGACGTCAGAGGTGATCGTTTTTTTCTTCCTTGATCACGCCGGCCAAAAAAAAGAGGGAACAAAGTGACCTTGTTGGGCGAGGGCGGGAATTAGCCATCAAACATTGGCCGCAGTGGCCTATACCAGGTGCAGTTTCATCCGTGACGCGCTCTGAAAAGTGTGCCATCATTCACCTCGACTTATTTGGACGCAGCAGAAAAGCCGGGATGGAACAAAGATGGAAAACGCGTCCGTACGTTAAACAGGCTGTCGAAATGGAACAGAAGGAAATAGGAGGCTGTCAACCAGGGAACCGCATATGACGCTTGACGCAAAACTCTCACATATATCCAAGCGAGGGAGCGGCAATGTTGTTGTTTTTTTTTTAGGCATTCGACCAACTTCAAGTTGTGCCACTAAATGTCGAATATTTTCAGTCCGTGGTAGCTTCTCATTTGCCTTGATTAGCGGTGGGCTGTTTGGTACATTTTTGTCGGCTATTTGCATCACTTAAGAGACAACCAGCGGCACATACGAGGTCAGCGTAAGCTCTGTTTGGCGGCCGTCCGCGCTGTACTTGAGCGAGCGCCCTTCGAGTTTTTTCACGTCACGCCGACTTCTTTGGGGAGGCCTGGAGATGCGGGTCTTTATGCGAAAGAAAACAGACGAGAGCGCGCCTTCAGCTTTTCCTTGCACCGAG